GCGAAGGAGCGAAGGAGCGAAGGAGCGAAGGAGCGAAGGAGCGAAGGAGCGAAGGAGCGAAGGAGCGAAGGAGTACAGGAGTGAAGGAGTGAAGGAGTGAAGGAGTGAAAGAGTGAAAGAGTGAAGGAGTCATGGAGTGATGGAGTGATGGAGTCAAATCGTCCCACCACTACGACTTGGAAAATACAAATTTTCCAAGTTAAAAATGAATCTTTAGAACATAAAAATGCTTTTTCTTAAAAAAAGTAATGATATAAAAGTTCAGCTTCTTTAAGTTTTTAGATGTTGAGGTCAGAAGTAAAAGATTTGATTCTGGTTGTGATCCTAGTTTGTAATATTGCATGTTTTATTAAGCGACACTAAAGGGAGTGAGGTTCAGAAAAAAATAAATTGGTTCGTTTGCCCAGAACAGCTGATGCATGGGATTGAGGGCGGGTATCATGATAACACTGATAACAACGCCAAATCTGGTAACAAGAAAACTTACTGCGCTAGACTTCTCTCTTTTGGATGTCTTCCCTGAAAAATTTCTTCCGAAGAAGACCAATCCTTCTCAACAGGGTCGTTCCCTGTGAAAACTGAATTTTGTCTTTTGCTTTGTCTCTTTTTAAGGAAGACCTAATTCTAAAACAATTACATGCGACATGACAACTGCTAGCATGACAACTGTTAGTTTAAAAAGTCACATTATTGAAGCTAAAGTTACAACTGCCAAGACTTGCGGGCAGTTGTAGAACCTGAAAAGCACGTATGCCCAGCAAGGTTGCAAACGAGTATTCTCGCATTCCTAATGTCATATTTCAGGCTAATGTGCACGAAAATTACGATCAAAGATTGCAGTTGAGAACAAAAGACAACAAAAGGCGACGAAGTGGTGTCGACTTGGCACTTTTGTCATCTGCTACTAGGGGAATTACCTTCTCAGTTCAGAAATGTTGTTGATTAAACCTGAGCTCCAAAAGAACAAAATGTGACAATTAAATACAACTTAACAAATAACGAAAAGAGCTTTTGTCTCGTTATGGGGAATTTCAAGCAAACACCTTAATGGATAGGTACAAATTGGCGGTATCGAAACTAAGTACTTTTAATTTGCTTAATAATCGTTCATTGTTTTAAGCCATTACATACTACTTAACTGTAGCAATACGGTATCGCTATCGGTTACCTAAAATAACCACTTTCTCACTAACTAACGGCTTGTTTTTTAAAATAAATCGGAAAGCATTAGGAAGTTGGTCTTCAGAAATAACACCAAATTAAACTTGAGTTCCAAAAGAACGAAGACGTGACTTTTAAAAACGACTTAACATAAACGTTCCCAAACATTGTCAAAATACTTTGACATTTCAGGCAAAGACGACAATCATTACACACATATTAGTATCGAAATAGTGAGTTAAAATTATCGTTTTAAATCGTTAGGAAATTGACTTTCGAAGATGACCACCAAGGTATATCGAAGATAACAACGAATTGCGTAAAAAGGAGTTTTAATAAGTATTATTTCTAGAAGTTTAAAAAACCTTAAATTGATCTGATACCTTGTGTGTTCCAAGAGCCGCCCTAATTGTTGAAAAATAGAAATGACAGCAGTTAATTGGAAAAAGTTTTATTGAAGCAGCTTAGTTTACAATTATCAAGACATACCTACAACCATTGAACTTGAAAACAGCGCGTGCTCAGCTACATTTATCCAGGGTAGTTTTATCACTGAGTGAGAGTAATTAAAGCTTTATGCTCTTGCTGAAATTTTGAGAAACGTGAGACCAGCCACGAAGGGTGCCAAGCTAGGACTAACAACATTTATACATTCCTAATATCAATTTTAAGGCTAAGTTGCATAAAAACAGTGATCGGAAGCAAAAGACGATAAAAGTCGACGAAGTGGGGTTGACTAGATATGTTGTCATCTGCTACTAGGGGAATTTACCTTGGGCAAAGTTTAAGTCTGGTCTTTAAAAATTCTACAAATAATGCTTATTAAACGCTTTGATGGACGATTTGTAGTTTTTCTTGATATATTCTTTTCAAACAACTTATTCCCTGCAGCTGGTTATTTCCCGAAAGCCAATTCCTTGACATTTTCAAATAACGCTTTCTTTCAAAGAACGAAGACGCTAGTTACTTGGGAAATGGTTATTTTAGGTAGCCAGTAGTGATACCTAAGTGCTCCATGTAAGTAGTATGCAATGGCTACAAACAATATATGTGGTAATTAGGTAAATTGAGCACCATTTCGATGCCTATTTGGGCGTACCAATTAACGTGTTTACCTGTCATTTCACACGCATGCAGTTGTGACAAGAACCGTTTTCGTCTAAGGCTCGTGAAAAAAAATTTTGTGAGGAGGCACAACGACTTCAGCAGCTGCATGGTGTGTGCTGATTGGCTTGAGGTACATCCTCTTAGGAGAGTCGGGGCCATCTTCTCTCGGATAAATTTGGAAAACAAGAAGCACTGCAACACTATTGGACGCATTTTGGAACACTTTTGAAATACGATTTGTTGTCATTTTCAGTCCGTTTTTCAACACGATTATTGCATTGAGGTGCAAAGAACATTAAGCTACTCGCGATCACGTGCGCCATCTTATGCCCAAGCGTTAGACTACGTCTGTTTAAACAACTGTACTGAATGAGAGTAACTGAGTAACATACAAGACAATGTCTCTTTCAAGCGAGAGTACATCATCTCACCAGAGATCCTGGGATTGCAAAGGGACATGACCATAGTAGCCGTTCTGTGACACTCTTCCATACTGTTAAGATAAACAGTTAGCTAACTATTCAAGGTAGATCCGACTCTGAAAGGTGTCCGACGTAGTTTTCCCTTCCCTTTATCTCCCCCCAACTCCTACGGCTCTGCCACGTTTCGTCCTTTGGAGAGCACGTTATACCCAAGGATAATTCCCTGATAAAAGGTAATAAACATACAACCCCACTTCGTTGCTTTTAATTTTGTCGTTTTTGTCATATTTTTATGCCACAATGTTTTTTGTTTTTTTTCACGTTGCCTTAAAATTGGTATTAGGAATATAAGAATGTTTGTTAGTCTTAGCTTGGCATTTTTTCTGGCTGGTCTCACGTTTCTTAAAATTTCCTCAGTGGTTGTCTTCGAATGTCAATTCCTAACGGTTTGTCGAGCGATAATTTCAAAGCATTAATTTGAAATCAATTTGTTTCAGGTAATTATCATGTTCGCCTGAAATGTCATTGTAATTTCACAATATTTCTGAACGTTTTACGTTTTGTCGTTTTTGAAAGTCATGTTTCGTCCTTTTGGAACTCAAGTTTGATTTGGTGGCTATTTCTGAAGACCAATTTCTTAACGCTTTCCGATTTATTTCAGAAAAACAAGCCGTCAGCTCGTGAGAAAGTTGTTAAATCACGTGACAGTTATGATACCTTATTGCCACATACAAGTAATGTGTAATGGCTTAAAACAATGAACGATTATTAAGCAAATTGAGCTCTTAGTTTCGATACCGCCAATTTGAACGTATGCATTAACGTGTTTGCTTGAAATTCATTATAATGTGACAATAGCTTTTTCGTTGTTTGTGAAGTTGCTGTTAATTGTCAGTTTTGCTCTTTTGGAGCTCAAGTTCAGTAATCAACAACATTCCTGAGCTGAAAAGGTAATTCCCCTGGTGGCAGATGACAAACTTGCTAGGTCCATGCGACTTTGTCGCCTTTGGTCGCCTTTTGTTTACAACTGTAATCTCTGATAGAAATTTTCGTGCACAACTTTAATCTGAAACATGACATTAGAAATGCAAGAATGGTTGTTTGTCTCGACTCTCTTTCTGGATGGTCTTGCTTCTCTTAGGGTCTCTATAAAAAGGATAAATTACTAGAATATTTCGCTAGACGCTAGACGCTAGAAAATTTTTCGTTAAGCAAATATTAGGAACGCTACTTTAGACAAATGTAGCTGGGTACGCGCAGTTTTTTCAGGTTCTACAACTTCCCGCAAGTCTTGGCAGATGTAACTTGAGCTTCAATAATGTGACTCTTCAAGATAAGAGCTGTCAATATCGCATGCAATTGTTTTAGAGTTAGGTCTTCTTTAGAAAAGAGACAAAGCAAAACACAAAATTCAGTTTTTCACAGGCAACGACCCTGTTGAGAAGGATTAGTCTACCTCTGAAGAGAATTTGAAGGGAAGACATCCAATTGAGAGGACTCTAGCGCAGTAAGTTTTCTTGTTAGCAGATTTTGCCTTGTTATCAGCTGAGTGTTATCATCATATTTGCCCTTGCGTCCATCCACCAGCTGCTCTAGGCAAACAAAACAATTTTTTTTTCCTGAAACTCACTCCTTTTAGTTCGCTGAGTACAACATGTTCGCATGAAATATTTTAAACTGAGGGCCCATTCAGAATCAAATGTTTACTGCTGATCTCAGTATCTAAAACTTTAAAGAAGCTAAACTTTTGTGTTATTATTTTCTAGAAAGAAAAAGCATTTTAATGTTATTAGGATTCCTTTCTACTTTTCGTTTCTCACGTTGAAAACTAGACTTTCTTTCATTTCACAGAAAAAGGAACTGATCAAGAAAATGACTGTATATTGCTGTAAGTCATTTATGTAACTAGATTAAGCAGTTACATGATGTTAGTTGTAACGGGCAGCACTCGATTTTTTCCCTGAAAGCAATTTTCTATAGCACTGGTGAGAGAGGAGAAGAAAACATGTAAGTTTCTTTACTTCGTATGAGAAGGTTCCAGAAAGGCTGCACAATATATTTCACAACATATAATACACAGAATACCTGACTAAAGATCTCTTAGGAGCGGTTCTTCGGATATTGTCTGTACGCGATAAGATAAATTGGTTGATTTTAAGAACCTTTGTCTTTCGTTCGGTATATTCGTTCTTTGATTTAATTTGAAAAAGATCATTCTCGGTTTCGTTCGTTTCTTGATTTCATAGATCCTACTTCT